GGTGAACTGTCTGCTCTGCACTGCTGACTAACCTGAATAAAACAGACAGGTTATTGTCTATGCTGGTGGTTTGTCCAGCCTTTATTGAGCACTGTTGAACATGATGGTTAGACGGTGTTTTGTTATTGCCTTTGCCGAATATTGCAAAATAAAGGTGTGTTTTTGCAGTTTGTTTGTCTATTATTTTTTCTACTCTCTAAGGTTTAATTATTATTTAAGTAATATTTTTTCTAGGAAAAAATATAGGCCCGCTCACTTTTTCAATGGCCCGCCCAAAATACAATTTCTGCCTACGCCACTGCCATCAAGTGGGGTCCGCAAATAAAGTAAATGATTCATGAAGCATCATTTTGGCCAGCACTACGAACAGTTAAGTGTAAATATCCACATAACTCAATACTAGTGATCCATGGTGTGCATGCATTGTAGACCCCTGCATCCTTCTGAAGACCCCCTCCTCTGATTTTTTCACGCAGGAATCATTTCATTCTTATTCTTCTCTGGGAGGGCCAGAGCCACCATGGATTCAGGCTTCACTCTTAACTACTACTGGGTCCCCATCCTGGTAGGTTCTGAGAGTGTGTATTACAAATAAGTAATAATACTCTGATCTTATGGCCTCTTTGTAAATAAACAATGACAGAGTAATAATACTCTGATCTTATAGCCTGTCTGTAAATAAATGATGACAGAGTAATAATACTCTGATCTTATGGCTTATAAGTAAAATGGTGACAGAGCAATAATACTCTGATAGCCGCCATTAAATATACAGTTTTTGTTTGTTCCTGTATTTGGAGTATGTCTGATTTTAAATATAAAAGGATAAAAAACAAAAACACAATAATAAAATAGTGACCTAACCAGGGACTCGAGCAACTAGAAACTAGACAGATTGTTTCTGTACCGTACCAGTGAAAAGTTGAAGTATATTTGTTGGAAACAGGTTTTTCTTGATGTTTTGCAAAAGTGCCAAAGTAGCATTTCCTATGATAAGGCGAGACATTCAATTAACAAATCTGTCGTCAGTCACCCAAAATGTCTTCCCAACCCTTCAGGGGTGTGTGGTTCAGCGGGTTAAATGTCTCTGCCTTTCTCGATCAAGGCCCTTAACCCCCCCAGATTGCTCCAGGGGAGCCAGGTAAATGCACTGGCCCTGAGCTCAGACCCCAAGCTCTGCTGTCAGTTATATATGTGAGTGTGTCTCAAAAGGAGAGCAAAATGGGGTATGTGAAAAGAGGCATTCCAATGTACTGATGCAAATGGCGAATAAAGCGTCATTTCATCTCAGAGGTTTCAGTACTTACAGGATGCTTTGCTTTAATTCTTTTGTACAAGTTCCATGGCACTGATATCGGGAGACTGGGCAGACCAGGTCGCTAGTGATCCTTCACTTTCTGTCTTGCACAATATTGGGTCATTATCTTTTCTGCAGAATGGAAGACTGTCAGATCAGCCTTAATTTGAAGTGATAACCTTTAATTTGACTTCCGATAACCATGATAAATCAGATTGCCCTGGGTTTTTTCACCAGCAAACTCAGACCATGAAACTACATTCCTCCACACCTGACAATGAGAACTATCTGCACGCAAATATTTTAGTTTTTGACTCATTAGTCCACAAGTCCATCTTCCACTCCAGTGTAAGGCATAGATAATCATGGTTTAAGAGGTCAAACTCAACTTTGGACTGGTACTGTACTGGCTATGCTGTTATCATAAATCCAGATGATCCAGTGAGGTCACTGGAGTTCATGTGCCTTCATTCTGTTTCAGTGCCTTTATTGCTCTGCTGACCATTTGGGGTCACAGTATGTCATAGGATAAGCTGGTGTGGGTCTTTCCCCAGACGCTGATCGTGGGCTCCTACCTCATCGCTCACGGATTCTTCAGCGTGTACGCCATGTGTGTGGATACGCTCTTCCTCTGCTTCTGTGAGTTTCTCCAGCATTAAAATACTGGACTTCCTGTTACTGTAGAATGGGAAGATGCTATTAATATGATAACAATGAGATTTGCCCAGCCAGTGGATAATATAATTTGCCGATGCTGGACTGATGAAGTTGAAAGCTTCCGTTGTTTTCTAGCTGTTATTGTTGCTGCTGTTTTTTCTTAAGTTGAATCTTTGTACCAAACCCAGAAGACATTTTTTTTCCATTTATATCTATTACTGGGAAATATTCTGGGATCCACAAAACTTGGACCATATGGTTTATTATAAAAATTAGCAGAAGCCATGAAAGCTGTTGAATGGTGCAGTCTGTCGTAGTTGGCAGAGCCCGTGTTTGGTGACTGCACCGCTTAACCACGCTTCCTCCCTACAGAATCTCTACTGCATGTGGTCTTCCTGGCTTTGTCTCTTAACTTGTCTCTCTTTTTGTCTCTTCACCCTCCTAATTTTACATCCATGGGTCACTCGATCTTCCCTAACCCCCTTGACTCCCTCGTCCTTGGTTCTCCCCTTGTCCTATCCTGTCATGATTTGCATTAACCCCCCCCCCCCCCGCATGATCCCGCATAAACACCCACACACAAGGCGAGGACCTGGAGAGGAACGATGGCTCCACGGAGAGGCCTTTTCTCATGTCTCCGGAGCTCCATGACATTCTCCTCTTGGATAAGATGGCGGACACGGCACCCCTGGAAGAAGTGGACACGCAGCACCCAGGAGAAGGAGAAGAACGGGAAGCAGAAAAAGACAAAGAAGATCAAGAAATACAGCTGAAGCAACAAGGGATACAGATGCAGGAGAAGGAGAAGGAAACGGTCCAGGACGCGGTCCAAGAGACGGCTGGGGAGACCATCCAGGAGACCATCCAGGAGACCGTCCAGAAGACCGTCCAGGAGACCACCCAGGAGACCGTCCAGGAGACCATCCAGGAGACCATACAGGAGACAGTCCAGGAGACAACCCAACAAAATGCCCAGGAATAGTAGTGCAGAGATCTGGTAAAGAGTGCAAGGAACCATGGAAGCACGACGAAAACAAGTGCATGGCGAAAGGGCTCATGCCCTGATGTTTTTCTTTTTACTTCAGGAATTTCCTTTGCTGGCTTTACAAAGGTTCTGTAAGGGCAGCTGTACTGCAGTTGCTTTTATAGTATTGGTTTTCTGTAAAGGGCCGGTGCAGTGGCTCAGTCTGTAAAAGCAGTGGGGTCTCACACATGCAGCGATGGCGTTGCATTCCTGTCCGTAGACCCATGCAGAGTTTGTGTCGGTTTGCTTAAGTCACTCTCAATTACTCCAGTATTTCAAAGACATGCAGTTGGGTGAATTGCTGTCTGAATTGCCTTGTGATGGACCGGTGTCCTGCCCCGGGTATCACTATCCCTGTGCTCCTTGGGGTGGGCTTCATGCTCACTGCAGCCCTATCCCGAATAAGCAGGTATTGAAGATGGAGGAATTTTAAGGACATTGGACAAAATTGGACACATTTTTTTGTGTCTTTCATGTCGTTCTTTTTGCTTTGCTGGTCATACTGTAAGGTAACAATCCCTTACGGTCAATATTTCAGATTTATGTTTTATTTTTATTGTTTTTTAAAAAGATTTGTTTTTATCCGGTGATACCAGCAGACAGCAAGGGTTGAGCCCCTTTAGCATAAACAGTAATTTTCATAATTAATATTATTCATCATTGTTCGGGTTGCAGGTACTAACACTGCATGTAACACCTGTTTGCCTCTGAATTTCTGACTGCTGTCTGCATCTCTGTTTCTGTGACTCTGGCTATTTGACCTTCCCAGATGACCAGCTCCCTGCTTTACATATTCATGACGGACAGGATGTCCGATCCCCGCTGCGTGCCGTTAGCGAGGCCTGCTGTTAGCGAGACCTGCCATGTGCTCTCTTAAACCCTGGTGCCTCTCTGTCATTCATCTTGTTCCATGTGTTCTTCTCTGGACTGTGACGGTCTGTGAAGTGATTCAGTTTGAAAATTACAAAAAAAGGAACACTAGAAGAGCCCAGGCAGCTGTTATGAATTGTATTGTTTGAATATCAATGCGGTTTTGTTTATGATACATTGCCGTGGGGAGCTATCTCTCGTCTGTCGTGTTGTTCTCTTCGTATATGCCTGGGTATTGACTAAGAATGAACTTCATAGCTTAAATTTATGAATCAGTTTTTTGGGTTTGATGAAGTCAGGCTTTTGTAACCACTATGCTTATGTGATATTGCGGTATTATTGGTAATTGACGATTTCAGACAAGTAACCCTGATTGTGACGACCTGCCGATTGCCGCCTTTTTCTGGGAATTAGGTTTAGGCTGCACACAAATCGAGGTAACAGAGGTTTATGATTTGACTTTCAGTTCACACTTATAGCCTGTGTTTCTTGCACAATTAAGAAAAAAAAAAACGTCATTGCTATTATTTTGTAACTCCGTGACGATACAGGTAGGCATTACGTAATCGTCTGTCTGTAAAGGCGGTCCGTTGCCAGTGCTTACTGTCCCCCCCCCGCCAAAGCTTTCTCCCACCTCAGTATGTTTCTTTGCCCCTATTCACATTCATCTCTCTTTCCAGTGGAGGATTTAGAGCGTAATGATGGCAGCATGGAGAGGCCCTATTTCATGCCCGAGAACATGCTCAAGATCCTGAAGAAGAACAACCAAGGGAAGACTGTGGAATAGACCATGGATGCAGGAAGGAGTAGGGGCTGAGCGAAAGCAAGAGCAGTCCTCTTTAGCTGCCATGTTTGTATATAGAGGAATATATCTCATTTCTGGGCGGAAGGACGGTCGCTGTATCACGGGCAGGATTCTTTGGCCTGTAGTATTTATTTCGATAAGCGCACGCTGAAGAGATGTCTACAGTATCCGTAAAGAAGAGCTGAAGTATAATTTTTTTTCTGTCTATTTGAGATTTTAGTTGTTTTGTTTACTGTTTAGTATTTTTTTTACTTATAAATGAGCAATGCTTTTTTCCACTGTGATACCAAGGTCATTCACAGTTGAATCTGCCTTAACGTTACTCTTGAGGGGAAAATGTCCTTGTTCACGTGCAAAACAATGATTTGTTTAATTAGTTTAGCGATTGTAAATGCCAGCAGTAACCCTACCTCAGATTAGTTTGGTTTATGGATTGTCACCTTATTACATCTGAAAAATGTCCTTTTCCTAATTTTCTGTTTTTGCTGTTAATTATCTTTCAGTTCACGTTTTTGCACGAACTATTACACAAGGTCAATGTTTGAGATGTAAAGCCATTTACTGAAACTTGTACTTCTACATTTCCAGAATAAATGTTAATCTCTTAGTTTTTTTTTATAGTATATCCTGGACATTGCATATAATTTGTATATAAGCCCTTAGTAACCAAAGGCAGAAGTAAATATGATCAGTGTTAACCTGAGAAGTAAAATAGCAGCCATATATCCACAGGCAAGGCATCCGTTAAGCAGACATTGTGTATGTTTAAATATATATGTGTAGATCTCTGAATGGCTCATTGCATCCAAAGTTGGAGTTGCATGGTTGTGTATGAATCTTTTTGCACTTGATATGCTCTCTATTACCTGGCTTGTTTGTTAATTTTTTTTAACAAGAAATAAAAGGCTTTCCAAATATTCCCTGTGCGCGTGCATTTTCTGTTATTTAAAATTTTGCTGATTTACAAAATTTCTGCTGCTCTTCACCATAACCTTGACAGGCAAATACTGATTACAGTCCTTTACCTCTAGAGGTCTCTTCAAAGTTGACCCGCATTGTTAGTCTCGTAATATAGGTTAGTCAGTTTTCTTCGTAACCTTCGTTTCTTACAAATTTGAAAACTAAAACTAACAAACAACTGTCAAATGAATCCTGCTGTAACTATCAAATGAAACCTCCAATGTGCTGAAATTCTATATGCTAGGCCACGAACAGAAATAAGCATCAAATTACGTTCACGGGAAGGACTGGGTACATGTTACGCTTGGCAACAATATTACATTACATTTATACACGCGATTGCAGTGCAAGACGATTCTCGGATGGTTTTAGCTCCCCCCAGCGGCCGGTCTGTGATCATCCGTTTGTTTACCAGCCCGTCGTAACCGAGGTGCTTGGTTGCTAGGTGACCGGAGAAACTTTGGTGAAGTGAGATCAGGGACTGTTTCTCGATACGTATAGTACAAACGCTATAAAATCACTGTTTTAATGCATATTATTCCTGATATTCTGGAGCAGGAATAAATAAAATGCCGGGCCCTTTCAATTTGGACAGCATCAAGCATCCCATTCATGACCAAATTACGGAGTTACAACGGAAAATTCAACTGCTTGGTATGTATATCTTTTATAAAACAAGAGTTTTTAAATGATCAAAAATATAAAGTTTGGTGTAGAACTAATGCAAGTGGTCAGCTGGCATAGACTATTGTTATACAGGTAAAACGATTTAAAGCAGTTTGTCTAGAAATCGGAATCAAAGAAAATATTGTAATTGGCCGGGTAAATAACTTGATTAATAAAATAAACTTTTTATAAATGGTGAAAGAAAAAGACAGTAGCGTAGAAGCTGTTTCACTTTAATTTAATTATCTAGCATTTATATATTTAAGTATTTAAGCCGATTATGCGGAAAATCAGGTTCACCTAAAATCATAAAAATGCAGAATCGGCGACGTTTCAAAAGCTGACTTTTAAAACCAGTTTAAATGTTGGTCTTCGCCAACAGAGGGGGACAGATGCGCTTATTACGAGAGCTCACAGGAGGCCATGAAGAGGAACAAGGCGGCGATCCTGCGGCTTCGCCACGAGAACAAGGGGCTGCGCAGGAGGCTGGCGGACGCGCACGCGGTATCCCACGATGCGCCTGCAGAAATACAAATAAAAAGAATATAAATATCGCGAGACGCATTACCTCATTCCAACTGTAGAGATAACCAAGGATTCACGAGATGTCTGCCCTTCAATTCTTCTCTCACACGACATAGCTACCTTCTGACGACCTCAACCGCAGTCGATTCATATCCATGTAACTGTATTTTAGCTTTTGGGCTGCACAGTGGCTCTCTGGTAGCAGTTTTGTCTCACACCTGGGTTTTCTTCTGCAGCCCCAAAACATGTAAATGTGTGACTCAGGGCTCCTAGGGTGTGAGTCTGTACACTGTTCTGCATGGACTGGTATCCTATCCAGCATGTTCTGCATACTGAAGATGAGAGGCTGTATAGGAGCCAAATTTCTATTTGTTGCTCTCATTAGGGTGATGAACAAGTGACAAAAGACGCATTTCAGAACAGAGGAACGGAGAAGGCTGCCTTCAGGTACAAATCAGGGAGGGTGAGGATTTTTGCTTGTTTAATATTATAGTTTATACTGAAAATCTGTACCATTTCACCATGATTACATTTACCAAACATCACAATACATTTTTAAATGTTCAAAATTATGTGAAGTAGTGTCTTTTTACGCAACAAAAGCCCCTAACCTCACCTGACCTTCTCTCTCTGGTGATCAGGAAGCTGTTCAGATCCTTGACCAGAAAGTGTCTGACAAGACAAAGAAACTTAATGCCTTGAAGCACCGTACAGAGTCTCGCCGGTGCCACCTGGAGGGGCTGCAGCTGCAGTGCCACAGAGCACAGTCTGCAGGCCATGCCAGTCACCAGAGTGTGGAGGAGAGGGAAGAGGAGGCAAAGGTACACAAATATACAGCAACACACAATTAATCCATATACAGACATATACAGCATCACACCTCTCATTCATGTATACTAGGGTGACCAGATAATCCATGTCAGGGAGGACACTTTGAGCCACTTCGGGTTTTACAAACTACTTTCAAATTGAAAGGCTCCTCTGATTGGCTAAATAGTTCACCACTTATTGTGCTTTGACTGGTTTGTTTCCTTGACTGAAAGACTCATCCAGCTGTTTCACATTAGTATTAGTGACACATGCATGATTATAGGAGACTGACCAATCAGCACACAGCAAGAGCTCAGTGCTCAAGTGAAATCCAGGTCCTTTTAATTGAAATGGTAATTTACAATTCCTGTCCTAGCTCAGAGTGTCCTCCCTGACGTGGATTATCTGGTCACCCTAATGTATACATATATACAGTATAATGCTGTACATTTATCTAGCTGATATATATATATGCAAAGCCTGACTGTAGACTCACCTTCAGCGAAAAAATGTCACTGTTTTATCGACATGCCTATTCTATCACACATATATCTGTGTAGTCCCACCGCTGAAGGACACTAATGATTTGCAGCCACAGATCGTAACTGGCTACTTCTTTTTCTACACAACCCGCCACATCGGTTTGTCAAAGTGATGTCCTGGCTAGTGTGTGTGGGGCAGTGGCTGACATGTCACCCTTGTCCGCAGAGTGAAGGCGAGGCGGCTGAGGAGCAGCCCCTACAGGTCACAGTCACGCCTCACACTCAAGACGGTCACAGTCATGTTAGCCTAGATATGTCTCTGGGAACAGTTACCCCTCCTCCTTTCTGTCAGCACCTGTCATCTCTGCCTGTAACCTCTGTGAACACGGGCATCTCTCTTTGAGAGCATTGACCCTGATGTCGATACGTTCCCCCTATCAGAAGTAGAACTCAGAGGTCTTAAAAAGTTAATCGACGTATGTAACTGTGGCGTAACAATTATGCAGAGATCCTGCTACAAAAATGATCACAAACGCTCGTATCTCTCTGAATGACTGCTGTTTATTATACTGGTTGTTTTGTCTGTCTCTGCTCATCTGGCACCCGCTGAATTTCCGTGTATGTTTGGGTATGTTCCAGAATTTACGAGTGTTGGAGAACCGGCTGGAGAAGGCCCAGCTCAAGTGCCAGGAGGCTGAACACATCATGAGGGGATATTTGAAACTAAAAGCCCATCTGCAGGTAGCTCAGCAACGTTCTTTGTGTCTCGTGATTTTGTCAGGAACTCCTGAGCCCTGCATCTGTGAAGGTCTGAATCTAAGCCAGCTGTCACTTAACAGTGATAGGAGTTAATCGCAGTTTTTGGTAAAAACCACATTAAATATCAACCGAGGGTTAATCTTTTTTCCTAATCAGTTGAGAACATTTGGAGTCGTCGAGCAAACCAGATGAATGCTGGGCACTGTTTATGCTGAAGACATTTCAAGCATGAAAAAACACATTTTCTCAGTTGGATGGAGAAATTGTTAGAGGCAAGCAGTGCAGAAATACAACAGCACTCCCCCTTGCCAGGGTCCCAGCAGGGACTTAGACTGTGTCCCATTTTATCCAGTGGTCCTGTGTTATGGATGTCCGCTGCCCAGAGGTAGAAAGTTCAGGTTCAGAAAGTACAAATCCAAACCACGATTATGATTCCACCAACCAGATGAGTATAAAGAGTCACATTCACAAAGTACGAAACTGATTGGTTGAAGCAAAATTATGGTCTGGATTTGTACTTTTTGAAGTCCCCGTATAACCTGCCGCTTTCAGGAGGAGAGCCTGACGTTCCAATCCCAGCTGGACGGCCTGGAAGCTGAGATTGTGCGGCAGAGGCAGGAGCTGCGAGAGCTGCAGGTCATGCACGCCGACGCACACCTGTCCAGGGATGCTGCCAGGGTGAGATCCGGGACGGTGGCCGGGACGGGACACCAATGTGCGTCACCCCCCAGTGGGCTCCTGACACTTCTCACGCAAAGTGACGTCAACGTTGACGAATACAAATACTGGTCTCGCACATATCATGTTGATATTATGTACAGGTGCGCTTTGTTCCATTATGGTTCGACTTACGATATTTTGACATGCACATTCAGTAGTCAGCTTTGAAGTTTGATCTGTTCCCATACAATGTATCACATAAATAAACTTGCATTCTTTATTTACGTTTGAATTACTAGTATTTAGTTACTTATCTAGTGACAGTATCTATCTATCTATGATATATTCATATTCATCTTACAATATTTTCCACTTACGAGGGGTTCATCAGAAAGTAACCCTGACGTAACTCGAGGAGCATCTGTATCCCCTGAAACTGATCAGTTTGTGGGTCGTTATGGCTTATGGCTCATCAGTATTTTCAATCTATACATATAATATATAGTAAACCATGTTTATTAGGATAGCGCCTGTTGGGATTTAATTTGTGAAATAAGACTCAGGTAGCTGTAAATAATTTCCGTATTAAATAACGATGCCTCTTCTGCCTCAGGCGGAGCTGCAGCGACAGGAGGAGCAGGTGTACAGGGAGCGCAGGGAGAGGGAGAACCTCCTGACCCAGTACAAGAAGCAGGCTGAGGACCGCAGAGCTCACACCGAGAGAGCTGAGAGGAGGGTGCGTGCTTCACGGTCATAAAGACAGGGAAGCATGGAGTCAGGAGAACTCAGGAGAATGTGGAGACAGGACACTGTATATGAGGAGACTAGGGAGAATATGGAGGCTGAACAGTTTTCTTGATAATGTCAAATTAAAGACCAGGGCTGTACCTGTACCTGTGTCACTCACCCCCAGGCCCAGCGGGTCACCATGCACCCGGACGAGATGAGCAGCGAGGCCCAGCGCAGTATCACAGGGGTGGGGGAGGAGGACAAGGCTATCTCCACCTATGAGGAGGCCTTCCAGCATATCAAGGAGGCTACAGGAGTCACCGATGCGCAGGTGCATTCCCCGGCTCAGGCTCGCGCACATGTATGTCAGGCATGAACGCCACGCTTTGCAGGCATGCGAGAACGAACATTTAAAATGTCAGCATTTGGCACAATAGGCGTGCTCTTTGTGGAAAATGCTCAGCTAGCACGACTACCCCGTGTGACCGCATACCTGCCCGTAAGAGCAGGAGGTTGTGGAGAGGTTCGTCACCCAGGGCAACACGCAGAAGCACCTGGAGCACCTGAAGGTGGAGAATGAGAAGATCCTGCAGCAGCTGAAGGCGGAGAGAGATCAGCTACAGGCTCAGATGCAGGACATGAAATATTCTGGGGAGGCCAAACTGTCCAGGTGGGGGTGGTCAACTAAGCAATTGCATAATAATAATAATAATAATAATAATAATAATGAAAGTAGTTCTGAAAAGATAGTGAAATGAGCTCTACATGCAGTCTCCCTGTCCCATGTCCCCGCTGGGCAGTGATCAGCGTGTCCTGAACGAGTGTGAGTCCCACCTGCAGAGGGAGTGGGACGGGCGTGACAAGGCCCGGCAGAAGCTGGACTGGCTGACGGACACGCTGAACGCGGCGCGTGGCGGCGTGGAGCACCTGGCCGACAAGCTGCGGCATATCGCCCTGGTGCGTCCGTCTGCCTGAGAGCTGCTGCTGAAACCACAGGGGGCGCTGTAGTGCTACTGCCGGGGCTAAACTCCTGGGTAACGTCTAACCAGTAAGCGGGGGTCAGGAAGGCGGTCAAAAAAATCCACACAGCCATCGATAAATCCATCAATCCATCCGTCCATAACCGCTTAGGGTCTTACAGATTCTAGAATAGTTCCAGTCAAAAGTTTGGACACACCTACTGATAAAAAGGTTTATTTGTATTACTATTCTGAACATTTCAGAATCATTATAAAGACATCAAAACTATAAAATAACACATATGGAATTATGTACTGACCAAAGAAGTATTAAACAAAAAAATTATTTGTTGGGGGGGCACAGCGGGGGGTTGGGACTCAGAAGGTTGCCATTTTAAATCCCGTGCTTGGCAGACTGATCCTACCATTGAGCCCCTGAACCCTAATTGCTCCAGGGAATTTCTCCTCTATGCCAGTTCCCTGAGGTGACCTCCTGGGATGCTCTCCCAGCTGTCCTGAAGGAGCTCCCACATATGCTGAGCTCTCACTGCCCGCTTTTCCTTCACACTCTGGTCAAACTCCTCCGAAACCATCTCGACTATGTTTAGGTCAGCTGCCAACTAGGATCTTCCCAGCAGTTTTGAGCCACATTCACTCTTCCTTTTCATTCCTCCTCTGACTCTTAGAGTTCTCCACACTTCAACCCCCCGCTGCCCCCTCCTCTTTCCCAGCAGGACACGGAGTTTCATGCACCTGAGCTGGACCCCAGCTCAGAGGCCCACATCCTGGAGCTGCTGGCACAGTCAGAGCGGAAGCTCCTGCTGCTTCAGGAGGAGCAGCACGGGAAGGACATGGAGGCCGTCATGAAGGAGATAGAGGAGGAAGAAGTGAGTTAAAACAAACCCAGCGTGCTGCCAAAACGGGACTAAGCAAAGCGTACTGTCGCAGCCTGACCAGCCATCTGTCTGGGCAAATGGCTAAACTCCTGCCCACCACACCCTCTGACCGACTCCAGGCTGACCTTCTCGAGGTCCATCACAGTACCACGTGCTCCCTAGTGCAGGGACTGTGGGAACCACTCCGCTCGAAAACATCAACACGCGCTCTACATTCTTCTGATTCACCCCAGGGAGTCACGTAGTTTAACCCAGGCTGTGTGTCACTCCCCTACCCTGGGGGGTGGGTGTCTCCACCTGCAGAATTACCCCAAGGGTCTGTTTTATTTTTTAAATGCCACGTGCGCCATCATCCACAATCCCTGAAAGTGACTCATGCTTTTAAAATGTTCTGCTATAGCTTAAAACATGAGAGCTTCTTAAGAATTATTAATGCGTTATTTTTATATCATATATTTATTTTATGATTATGTAATAATTGTGTATAGGTAAAATGTAAATCTTCAGCAGGCCTTCTAATAAACAGTTATATTTTGAAGTAATATATTTATAACTATTTAGTGTAATTAATTAGTGGGCTCTTAACTCTTGACTTAACTGCTGTTTTTTTAAACATGAAGCAGTGACAATATGTTTCAGGGGCACAGGAATCTCCTCTTGGGCCAACATTAAATATGCAGTGTTTGAGCAGCAGTGACGAGCGACACTTGTACAGTATATAATAAAATTCCTGAGGCCCCTGGGTGTCCTCTGACGGGGCCCCTGGGTGTCCTCTGACGGGGCCCCTGGCAGTAAGGGCCGCGGGGTTTGCGCAGTTTGTTGATAAGATGACGCCGAGCTCCAGGTCACTGCTTTTGCTCACTGTGCTGCTCTCTCCATCCCCCCCCCCCGCAGTTCCACGCCACCATTGAAGGAAAGCTGCCTGCACAAAACATGCGCATCAGACTCCCCCAGGCTCAGAGACAGGACCCATATGAGGGTGAGAGCCACGACTCCCTCACTGTCCACTCACTGTGTGCCTCCCTCTAAATGCGTATTTGTGTGTGTGTGTGGGGGGGGGGTTTAATCACTGCCACCAATCTTTTATTAAGGTTATGTAACATGTTCTAATAGGTGTATAGACAACATGCAGTGCTTAAGCGTAGGTTGTTCCTTAAACAAATATGGGAGGGGTGCCCATCTTCACTATGGGCTGCCATATATATGGACAATGGACCAGCAACATTAAGCGTCATTGTCAACCACTCACAACAACTGCCATATCAAGTTTACCATTTTTATTATATACTGCGGTTTTATTCAAAGGACTGTAGAAGCTCCCGCCTGAAGCGCGCATCATCGACACGCATAATTACACGGCTTTGTTACCTGGTATTATTTTGAAAATTGCCATTTCAGTAGATGTATCAAGTTAAGGTTCCTCCTCAAATGTCCTACACCGCAACAGATGAGGAGAAAAGTGGGGACGACGAGAGTGACATCATCACCCGCGCTGCCCTCAAACGCCAGTCTCAGATGATCATTGACTCACGTACCAAGAGGAAGATGCGCATAAGGAAGAAGAAGAACAAGCAGTGAGCCATTTGGGACCTTCATCCAGTCCAGGGGATGGAGTCTGTGTGTGGCGTCTCCTTCTGCCATTGGTCTGTGCTGTAGGGTCAGGTCTAGATTTGCAGTGGAAACAGGAACCTGCATTTATGTTTGATGACGGTTCCTTAATTTCAGGCACAGGTCACCGTACTCAGCACACCATGCTGGTGAAACAGTGAACGGTGACGGTGACAGCACGGGGGGGGGGGGCTGCCCTGCCCACCAGCGCACCTCAGCAGTACAGAAGTAGGAAATCAAATTAACTTAACGGGCAGCTTTTACCTTTTAAGATTTTTATAGTTTTGTTGCATCAGATGATATTTCGCATAAATTCATTTTGAGTATAGATTTTAAGTTGAGACAAGTCGTACTTAACAACGGACAGTCATGAAGTCTATTACATTAGAAATTTGAGTTACATACAGTAATTCATAATCCCAAACGAACGCACTACTAAACAATGCATGGCTTCAGCGGTTCATGAGCTCGAGGTACAGTACTGTACCGTATGTACTTAATTTTATTATTACTGTATTATTATTATGATTTTGTATTGTATTATTACTTACCTACAAATTCGACCTGAAGACAGACTTATTGAATTGATCTCGTTCACAACCTGGGGACGGCCTGCACTGTGATTACAAATAAGAAGGGAATTGGATATCACGCAAAAGACTTTGTGACGTGATATCAGGCAGATGACTTACAAAGGTGATTAGAGACTGAGCAAAATACAGGTGCTCCTCGACTTACGATGGGGTTACGATCTGATGAACTCCTCGTAAGTGGAAAATATCGCAAGTCCAATATAAATTCATAGGGTGCTTAGTAGATATAATGGACTTGGGAAAAAATTTTAACACAGAAAAACAAACGTGGCTGGGGGGGGTTGGGTGCTGCCGTCTCCTAGCAACAGTATAAGTTATTGTACCGTGTATACCGTGTAGCCTGGTCAAAGATCAAAATTCAAAGTTTGATGACTAATGACTGTGCATCTCTATTGCACCATCGTAAAGCAGGAATATCATGAGTCAAACCTCATAAAGCGAGGAGCATCTGTACTTTATTAACAGAAAACTTAAACGCAAGATGTGGAACAAACCAGACACCATTACGGAGACTCTGAAACCCCCTGAAACGCACCGATCATAGACACATAACCGCTGTGTTGACAGGAAAGCCTGCGTCCGGGTGGGGCTCTGCTCTCCTCTGCCCTTCTCCTGTCCCCCACCTCGCCATGTAACCATACCAAGATATTTATGCTAACAAGGGTCAACTTGACTTCACTGACGTTTCCTGATGCTCAGGGCTGGCGGTCATGCAGACTGAGCCCTGGCTCTGCCGTGCTCTAGCTTTAGTCATCTAAAATACCTTCAAATGCCTGAGAATGACTTAGTGTTGTCAGTGACTGCTAGTCGTTATTTGACACCATAATTGCATTTTATTTGATTCTTGAGCCTGAAGCCAGTCTGAACCAGTCTCTACCATCTCAGTACAGCATGTTGAGGCAATAATATTTCCAACAACAGAGGTGTCCCAAAACAACCTTATTCTGTCACGGAACTTTAGCTTTGTTTCCTTTTCCCACTGTTTTCCTGAATTAATTTACTCTCAGCTAGTGTCCCCCCCCCTCCCAAATCTCGAAACTCGTGACCAAAAACAACATATCCATTTGGAGACGGCTGCGTCGTGTTCCGAGACCAAGGGTACAACGGCGTGAGCCGCAGGAAGCAGGCCGAGGTGGTCACGCGACCCAGGGCCCCTCTCTCTTTCCACCTACTTGTGAGTCGCAGACTAAACCCCTATCATACGGATTCGGCTTGCGGTGGCGGTGCTGACATCGAGACGCCGTGCGGTCACGGGCGGCCAGCCGTTCTGTAGCTGCGTGTCACTGGAGGCTAAAGGTGGAGGTAGTTTAAACTTACAGTACAAGATTCATTTCGCTGTACAAGGAGCTGGGGATGCAAGAGCGGCGATTCAGCCCTGACGCACATGCCGTTCGTTGGCTTCATTGTTTAGTGTATAGAATGACTCATTTGGTGATATTGCTCATCCTATGATGTCCTTGTCTTCTCCTCTCTGTGTTCTCACACCAATGCTATTCAAAGCGTGGCCTTCCTGTATCCATGGCACGCTCACGGAGGGCAGACGCTCACGGAGGGCAGACGCTCACGGAGGGCAGCCCAGCCGACCCTCACTTCAGCAGGCATATGCGCTGTTTGAGATACTCGATTTATGTATGATGATGAAAATACCTGCGAAACATCCTGACCCTAAACCCCTGTGGCAGGGCGATTATAGAGTGCTTGCTTGTTGTTTCAGGTCAAATACTATGACAGATACTGGGCATATAGCATGGAAAGATTCTAATCCAAATACCTCTGGAATCAAGTCAAATGTAAAGTGGAAAATGAAGCAACATGAAATGGTTTGTCGTCCTCATCCTGCCCGCTGAGTGTCCTTGTTATATGGGGTACAATATTGATTTCTTTGTATTACTCTGCAACATAGAAGTTATAATTGGTCTTGGGTAAAGGAAATAAAGAATAAAGAAAACAAACATTTTGAAGGTGGTATATTTTGTACAGCAGGAAGATATTTATGGCAAACATTCTATAATGCAGCAGCTTAATCAGAACACTGAGGCTAAATCCTGACATTTTTCATTACTAACAGTTCTATTCTCAGATAATAAATAAAACTCATTCTACTAGGAAGAGAATCTCAGTTTCCCAAAAAGTACAGTTCCCTCAGACCCTGTAAACCATGTAATACAAGTATCCCATAACCAGCCTGTTACAAAGAAATACATTATCCTAAAAATGAAAAGAATTTGTTGATACAATGTTAGACACACAATGCTGTGGTATGTTACTGATACATATCCATTGCAAAATCAGGTGAAATTTGATTTACTCTAGTTGCACACATCTTCATGTAAAATAAATGTCCAAAGCAGTACAACCCATTTGCCCTATAATAAATATATTGGGGAATATATTTCACACAGAGAAGTGTATTAGAAATGGTGTCCGGGTAACAAAATGAACAATATTTATGTCAGACTAGAGAAAAATGTAAAGCGTGCATGAGAAATGCATTCATGTACTAAAACAGAGTCGCCATGCAGGTTTAATCTGTAGGGGCAAACTAGCTATTAAATCGGCAGCTGGCTAAGTCCTGCAAGAGGAGCGGAAGTACGTGCGGAGACTTGTGGGAAAAGCGGGCGTAGTTTTCTCATCGGTTATCTCGCCTGTTTGTTTGCCAGAAAATTCCATAAACCGAACTCCTACACAGGAAGCTCATTTTCCTAAACGCACGTGACCGTTTCAGCACAGCACTACTTTTCAGCTGCTTACCCTGTAAAGTTTAAAACAGGTTACTGAGTATTTTAGCACAAGAAGCATATGTTCACCCTCTCACTTATCCTGCTATGGACTGCGCTTTTTATCTCCATAGTACTTGCGTTATGTGAACCGTATACATGCTACAATCATAGCTGCATATAAAATCCCATTTTAGCATAACAATAAAATGTATAATATTTAAAGACATCCTTTAAAAATATATATCTGTTAGTTTACGGATTGCAAGTAAACTGTAATTTTCTGTTCGGTTTCTTGTAGCGATGCATCACGTGATATGTGTTATTTTAGAATATAACTTTTTGGAACTATGCAAAGAAATTACTTAGGCGCTACACGAATTGGCCGCTTTGTCATAGGGGAATTCTTACAATAAGTCAGATTCCTCGGTGAGTCGCTCGTCTCTTGACCTTCCATCGAGGCCCGTCATGTGCTCCCCGCTCCAGAGCACATGATCCTCGTTAGACCAGTTCAGCGCCTCAGATAAGTAATTCCCCGTGGTTTCTCCGACTTGGAAGTTCAACCTAATTTTTGTGTGTCCGAACATAATTAACATGACAAAAATTCTGACGTTTACTTTGCTTTTGATTAGTAGTAACGTTAACACAGTTGACTTAATTGGCTTGTAAATATTCTACCGCAGAAAGGGGGTCAGGTACTCTTTTCCTAAAAGAGCTGCATTACTATTTGGTCGTATTTAAAACAATTTGAGGCATGCTTCAGTCTCTCCAGGAACACTGTCGGCTATCACCATCTCATTTAGCTGATTAATATAGTTACACAGGCGATTTTGAAATGAATCTGCTTGAATTGTTTTTGTTTATTTTTTATTTTAATTTTTTAAAATTTCTCCTCCATGAAGTGACAGGCTACAGTTACACTCACGCAAGCTTACCATGAAATGTGTCATGACCTTTACGCCCAGGAGTGATCACGCACCTGACCGCTCATATAGGGTAATTGCAGCGTAATGCGTTTCTGCATTCCTTTCATGCACCTTCCTTGACAAACCATCCTTTGAACTGCTAATGTGATTTCTGTCGTTTAAAATCCACATATATTTAAAGGACACTGACGGCGAGAAATTTAACTTAATCTTAACATAAAGCAGCAAAAATATTTTAATGGCAATAACGGTTTAATTAGCAAACAATTTAACTTAATTTTAGCATAAAGCAACAGAAATAGATTTTAATGGCAAAAAGAAAGGGTTTCATTATTATAACAAATTCACCGTCAGATAAATAATAGGGAGACCTTCCCGTTTTGTCATCCGCCATCCATCCAACCGAAAAATTCCTTGCCCTGTGTCTAAAGAAAGAATTATGTTAACTTGCTATAGTATTTTTGTTCCTGATCGACGACCGTAGGACTATTAACGATTTGTGTTTTCTGCATCATGTCAACCACACGATAGAAACGTTTGTGGAAAACGTCGTAAAAAAAACAAAAAACGGCGTCATCATTTTACACACTGATCCGATGATGCGATCACCATCTCTCAAATGACCGAGAATCATGTTATAAACGTTTGAAAAGCAATATGCATTTTGAAGGATTCCTCTTCATACTCTCTTACTTTGCGGATTAATTAGCGCACACCCACAAAACCAGTCTCGCTGTCAATGTGGACTAGGTTTTTCGGTTTAAGTATTTTCGAACGTCGTTTTGTGCGTGGGAAAACGAAAATTGGTCTGCGGACACTGCAGGACTAAAACAAAAGAAAAGGGCGAGAGAAATGGGGCGTGATGTTCAAATAAATGCGTGAGTGAGGCGAAATGATTTAATATGACAGATCTTTAATTACTTTCATGGACGCTGAGTACCTAAATGGTACAAAAGAATATACTTTGAAATTGCATGGAACTGCAAGTAACTGTCCTGAAGAGCGGACCAGGTCCAAGCATCACCCAGAGACACTACCACGTCTTCTCTGTTTAGGCTACAATTGTTTTCTTTTGCTCCTCAGAAACGGCATGCGGGAAGGCAGCAGCCATGTGTAACGGGACCTGAAGTTAATCTCCTTCTTGGCAATCAGCTGGAGCTCCACGTCTGAATCTTCTCAGTAAGTCCCGTGTGTATGTGTGAACAACTGTTTTTGGCAGTTGAGCCTAAGTTACGCAAGCTGCAGACGGGATCTGGCCAGGGGAAACCTTTCCCATATAGCCAGATGTTAGTGAGATGTTCATTCGACCTGTTTGGATATGTAGCAAAACAAAAGCTTACATTTACATTTTAGTTTATGTATACGGTTTGTGGATTTGATTGTTACCAATGAAACTGGAATGTCAATATACACGCTAAAGATGATGACTCACGGTTTATCTTGAAATAAACGTGTGAGTATATCACGAAGTATTTCTATTTGTGACATCCGATTTATGACTAATTAGAATATGTTTCTGTTGCCAGGCTATGTTTTGGTGCTTGGACTTGGTAGCTCTGAAATTCACCGAGGAGTCGCGGTCATACTCTGCGTACTGTATGAGAAGGAGCCCAAAATATGAATAGGGAATCACCGGGTAGATTCTCTTTACTGCAGATGATTGATGAATCCCGAAAACGAAACCGCTGGTTTTCTCACAAGATATTGCAAAAGTTGCTTTGAAATTATGTGGTATTAGGAAACTGGCCAATGATAGCGTAAACGGAGAAACATGTGTTCCATTAGCCTAGTTAATATTAGTTTTTTTGGAATGAGTATGGATTATTTCCACATGCAAATCAGTTATTATTATTGTTGATGATAAAAATAACTCAATGAAAGAGATTAATTATACAGATGCTTTTGTTTATTCCTACCTTATATAACTTTATAACGAGATATTAAGGAGTTTTATACATCAGGATGTTTGATTAAATAGACTGAGCGTGTATGAGGTTGACCTTGGACCTCCCCAGAGGTTTTTTTCCCCTACTAGTCCAACTGAAAGAGTTCTGTTCTCCTCTGTAGTCACCTGCCTTTGTGTGTTTCCTGTGTATTTGTATATGCAAAGCACATTGGGCCAGCTGTTTTGAGTAAGTGCCTCATAAGTGAATGGAGCTGCTGCCTGTGGCTGGGTACCCCAGGTTCTCTCTCTCTGCTGTGCCTATCCCAGGACCCCAGCGACCTATAACGCGAAGGTATGAGCTCATGCCGCAGGTCCACACTGCCGCTGGCCAGGAGGGGGCGGGGCCTATGGGCCAGGGTGAGCCAGATGAGGAGGCGGCTGTGCCTGGACCACCAGAGCTGCGTGGACGTCCAGCTGGAGCCGCGGGCCGGCGTCTGGCTGCGCAGCTTCCACTTCCTGGACACGGATCGCTACTCTCTGGTCAGTGCCGGCGTTCTAGTTGGGAGACACCTGTGTGTCCGTGTGCCACTGCTGTTTATATGTAATGTAGCGAACAGCAGGGTCTACATTATAGTGAACAGAGAGCCAGTCACAGAGTGACATGCCATGTGTGTTACACGGGTCCCGGACGTCCTGTGAAGGACACCGCATCAAATCAATGACTGGATAATGATGAATGGTCCACTCTGTGATTGGTCCACTTGGTAGCTTTCATTTTTTTATGGGAGTGAAGAAAGGATATATCCCAGATGTACTTATATCGCTGATTAAATCTGAAGCACTATTAATATCTAGCATTAACCCACCCTAGACATCGTAGCAACAGGTAGCATAGACACTAACCTTAAAATGGACAATGCATAAAAAACAACTTTTTAGTAGCTTGACATTTTTCCAAATTAGTCTAAGGGAAGTTTGGAGCAGCACAAATGCAGCCAGGAGTTGATGAATGGATACTTTATAATGTTTTTTTTTTCCTGCTTCATATATGCAACATCCAAACACAGACACACCAGCCCACAAGTACAAATGCTTACAACGGTGTAGGTCACGGTGTAGGGTGTAGGTCACAGTGTAGGTCACGGCGTAGGTCACAGTGTAGGGTGTAGGTCACGCTGTCAGTCACGGCATTGGTCATGGCGTAGGGTGTAGGTCACAGCGTAGGTCACATGTAGGTGACGTTGTAGGTCACAGTGTAGGGTGTAGTTCACAGCGTAGGTCACATGTAGGTGATGGTGTAGGTCACAGTGTAGGGTGTAGGTCACGCCATAGGTCACGGTGTCAGGTGTAGGTCACGGCGTATAAATAAACCTTAAATATGCAAGAAAAAAGATGTTATGACTTTTCATACAGTGAGAGCTGGACCAATATCGCAGACCTGAGCTCTGAGCTCATTTTCATTTCAGAATAAAACTCCCTTTATGGGACCCTGCAGTGATTATCTGAATTACTAACTGTGGATGTGATCTCACAGTAATGTTCATCCAGGTCTTATTCATCAGCGTTGATTAATCTCCACAAAGCCCTCCCTTAATTACAGTGGGTCTGTCTGTAGCTCATCCACTGATGATGTTAATTTATAGGCAGATGGGATGAACTGACATATAATTAATTATTTTTGATATTTGTTCACTCAGTTTGTTGACAAAGGTTCTTTGTCCAACTGTAAGTGTTTACTTGTGACTATAGTGTGCCATGTTGGAATGGTAGAATACCACAGATCCTTTGTAATATATGACATCTGTTGTGATAACAAAATCTCATCATCACCTGCTCGATTTATAAATTTAAATTAACAACAACAATAATAATGATAATAACAATAATAATAATAATCATATTTATTATTATTATTATTAATAATATCTAATAATCCCATTTTACAGTTGTTAAGCACAGTTAGCATGGAAACTGACCTAACTTTAGTTTGTTGTAATTTTAGCTCATGACCCACATCTGCGAGCCTCACCCCACTCGAAGGGAACAAAAACGTCGACGCGAATGCTAACGCAAACAAAACAGAAGTCAGTTTGCATCGACCTTGGCGACTGAATCTGACGTCACGGGGCACCGAGGATGTCAAGCTGTCAGCATGGAAAGCATAAGAGCGAGAAATGTAAACAGATGAGGACCTTAGGCGTTTAATGTGCCATTCTTTCATGTAGTACATCCCATGTTGATGTAATTTTTATATGTTCCGCCAATTCCACTCAGGGATGTAATTCCCTTATCCATTACACTAGTCTTTACAGGGCTGTCAACTTTTGTCAGCCGGCTGGCGTGAGATTTTCGATTTCAGACAAGTCCGCACACGCATTTACACCTATGTGACAGTTTTATTACCTTGTAAATAGTCTGTAGGGTTTGCAAACTACCCCACCGTTTTTGATGCAGCTAATTTTAGGTTTATAATGTAATAATATAAATTTGCCGTAAGATTTCTTTCGCGAGCGTGAGAGTCCGAAAGCGTGACTGTCACGCCAGATGCGTGAGAGTTGGCAGCCCTGCCTTTATGAGTTATTTAGATATTAAGTAAGTGAAATGTGCTTAATGTAATTAAAGTATTTCTGTAGCTCCTCTTTGTGTACTTGTTATCTACTGTGAGCTGCACATCATACATGGACAAGCTGGATTTTCAATATCTAAGTTATAGCATTAAATAAATTACCAGGTGATGTGACACTTGGAATTTCCCAAAATGCGTATGCTGGCACTGTAACGTCGTCACTGGCGGCCGTGACAGGTACTGTAAAATGGGCAGCGCCTGTTTCTCCGCCTCCGAACCGCGCTGTCAAATCCGATGGCGAAGGCGACGCGCTTGATTTTTTTTCGCGCTCGGTCGCCTCCCACCTGTCGTACAGGAGGGGGCTGATTTTTAAGGACGCGCTTCGCGTGGCCGCAGGCACAAGGAGAGCAGGTGACTCCGGAGCGACGCCGCCGCGTTTCAGTATAGCGCATTTTCACTCGATATCACATATTTCTTGAATCACCTGGAATACTATTATTATTATTTTTTTATTGTATTAACAAAACTATTCTTCTCGAAAACAGCGAACTATTTTTTTCTTTTGACGATTTGTACAGTAACCTATATATTTTAATTTTTTATTTGCGTCGGACGTACTTTGCATTTAAGAAAAATCACGGCAACGGAACATGACAGGGACTACAACCTAAAGAAGAGAAACTTCTAGTTTCACGTTTTTATTTTATCCTCATCTGTAGGCTGAAACTACTGTGAGAAATGGGAAAATTAATGGTAATTATAATGTTTATTGTACTTTTTTACTGTTTAATATGTCAGGCCTATAACATTCTTGATATAACCTGTGTTCAGATCATTGGATCTTTTGAAGAAGCAAGGGCGTAGGATAGAGTTTAATGTAAAACCCAAAAGGTTTATTTATTAGAGGGGGTTACAAATTAAATCAAATTAAATAATGGGGGACTGGGTACACACCCCCAATCCCGCCCCTCTAAACAAACTCAGTTTTAAATCTTTGCTTTATCTTTTTATTATTTAATGTGTTTCTTTTTTTTGCATAAATTATCATTTCTGCACGTTTGTTAAAACATCTTAATTTAAATCCCTTTTGTTGCTACACTTTAACAGCATGGAAAATCAGCCCCTTTATTGCATCGACTGAGATGTTGCAAACTAGTGACGATTTTAGCCTAAAGTATCACAATCGCTCAGGTTGTGTACTATTAAAATTGTCTTGCTCGATGTTCTCACTCATCCAGTGGGTGAGAGACACTGTTTCTTTGCTGTCAGTCGAATTTTGTTCACTTACGATTTTTTTTTTCTTTTTTTGGGGGGGGGGGGGGCTCTGTCGAACACAGACATATGTGAGACTTTCAGTGGTTTTGAAGAGATTTAAAGTAGAACAAGTGGCATAAGATTTCACAGTGCTGTTAGACCTGTGTTTCCCAACCCGATCCACGGTTTTTGCTTGCTAGGAACTGGGAGTTACTAAAAATGCAGACTGTCTGGGAGGGAGCAAAAACCTGGACTGTTTGGGGGTTCAGTGAGGAGCGGGTTGGGAAACGGTGCCTTAGACCATTTCACTGCATGACGCTCTGCGATTGGTATGTTTGTTTCAGATAACTCTCTACAGATCTTCTGCAGCTCTTAAATATTTGGTAGGTAGGTGGGCAGGTACTTCTGTGGATGAATGTATCTGTCCAGCAACTGAACAGGATGCTCAGTGGTCTGTTTCTATGTGGACATTACAGTATAATGTTCCATGGTGTGGCCAGAGATGATTAGTAAAGCTAATGATGGGGTTGAGTCATTCTAGCAGTTCGCCATGCTGATTCCCCCATCTTGTATGTTTAGCGTGCCCGGGGGGAATCACCAATTGACCTTGGACCTTGGTTATTTTATGTGTAACGGAACGTGTCACGGTACACAGTTGTGGGGCAGGTTGATTTCGTCCAGCACTGGGTAATTCAACAACATGGGTCATGCCCGTGTTCCAGCTTGTGTTACACATGTCAGTATTACATAACATTTACTTACATACCTAAATAAATAATGATATAAAATACCACAGTATCTAATTGTCTAGTTGGGGTACAAGTGATGACTGTTTCCCACCAATACCATGGCAACTGCCTGCCTCTTGATTTAATTATTAAAGGAAAACAGGAGGATTGTTGAGATCAATCGGATTGGACCGATCCAACAGTTTTGTTTGTTTTCTGCTCGCCTGTTTGCCGTGCGTAAATATAACAGGCTTTGTCACTCAGGCAAGGCGAGTGGAAGCACAATGATTTATTGATGAGTTCTTTCTGGCTTCTGCTTCATGTCTTTGTAGAACACAGACAGCGGAATAGTACATGAGCCTTGGCTTTGATCTCCAGGGTGTCCATTCGCAGTGGAAGTGCTGCTTTTGTTCTTACGTTCTGTTCGCTTTTGTTTACAATCCCTCTGTCTAGTTCATTAGCCACGCTGTCCTCGAAGCTTTCACAGTGGCCTCCGTGAACACAGGTTGCAGTGTAAATCGATTTGATCTTACCACTGTTTGGATATATGCAATTTAAGTCTCTCTTAGCGAGATCCGCTGTGGACACTGCAAGCCTAGAAAGGTTTGCACAGCACGTGTTTCACTGAGTGTTTATGAACAGTGGCTGTTTGTGGTGGCATCAGATGGTGGCCTTGAAGTGCTTGTGCTCCACCATCAACTCCAGGTTTTCTGGTTGTCTGCTAGTTTGTCTGTCTACTCCCATATTCTGTCATTAGCCTCTACAGCTTCACCACAGTCAACGGCCAGGCCACAGAACAGCTCAGTCTACCCTTGAATTGGACTCGGATTCTTCCTGTGGCCTGACATGTTCATTCTAAGCCTTTGTTGGTGGTGTTGAGTTGTGCCTCTTTCCCTGTGTGTTTGGTCTCAAGAACAAATGCTCTGGTCTTACGCATAGTCCTAGAAGAATATTCTGGAAGATGAGAGGGATATATGCAGAGGTGGAAAGTTCAGGTCCATAAAGTACAAATCCAGACCAAGATTTCGTTCCAACCAAGTGTGACTCTTTATACTCAACTGGTTGGTTGAAGCAAAATTTTAGTCTGGATTTTTACTTTCTGAGCCTGAATTCCACCTATGGATATAACGGCAGTGAATGTTTTGTTATTTACTATTTGTTATCCTTCACTGATTAATGCAGTAGATGGATGCGTTCACAGTGTTTTAGAGATGATGTTCCTCCCATCCTTTGGTTGTCCCTCGTTCCCAATCCGTCCAACCTGCATCTCTGTGCTTTACCCAGGATCCAGTGCAGGAGTGGGGGGAGGAGCGAGAGGAGGGTGTTGTGTATGGCGTGACCCTGCGGAGAGAGCCAGTCCAGCCGACCCCTGACACCACGGATGGACAGCTGGGCCAGGGCTGCGCTCAGCAGCAGGTGTGCAAGCTACGGCGACTCAAGGCGACCACTCTGGACCGCCTGGTGGCCGAGCTTCTGGACCCATCCTGTCAAGAGCCAAACTACAACCACATCTTCCTGTGCACCTACCGAGCCTTTACCAGCACTAGCACGCTGGTTGAGCTGCTTTTCCAAAGGTACCGTGTGGGATGCCTTCATTTTAGGCCTTTTTGTGCACACATGCTGAAATAGTTTGCAGTGTCCCTTAATTAAAGCGGCACTTATGTAACCTATTGACACCGCGGGAAGAATGAGAATTAGGATTAGGGTTGTAACGTCAGGGAAAAATTGAAAGAATGTTGTTTTAGAGATGTACTGAAAACAGTGCTTGGGTTTCTAGTGAGTGCCCTTTGTTAGAAAGCTGTCACTCCGTGCATGGTTACAGAGACGTGGGAGGGAGTACCCACATAGCGTCTAACGAGTTTCTGAAGTATGTCATTGACTTCAAGAATCTGCAGAATTTCTACTAAATTGCGGCAAGGCAACCTGCTGGATTAAGGAGCACTGCTAGTTGACCAGGCAACTGTGATTAGAATGTAAGCGCCGTCAAGTTTGTTTGATTAGTAAAAGTCAATGGAATCCTGGAGGTATTACTGTCCACTTTTTCGCCCGTGGGCACTTTTGAGGTGTGTCAGGAGAATCGGAAGCATTTAATCAAATGAAACTCTATCATAATGAGAACCGGAGATGCATGAAGCTCATTTGACGGCTAGTATTTACAAAACAAATTCGGTCCCCTTAAGAGACAGACAGCTGGAGTGGGGGTATAAAGTCTCCCTTTCATGGTAGCAGATGTCAGTACGGTCAGAGAAAAATGGAAACATCTCATACAGCCTTCAGTAATTGAAATGGGCATAATCCATATGTTGGTGCTTCCCTGCGCTGGTGAGGCAATTAACGAGACCTCTGTGTTTTCTCAGGGACGACGTGCTCTCCGAGTTATACCCTGACTGCCAAAACAGGTGAGGAATCTGTTATCAGAAGCTGAAATGAGTCTGTCCTTCACAGCCCCAAACCCATGCTTTGAATCCATATCTAGAAACATGACCAAGGTCTTGTGGTGTCTTCTCTGTAGCTCCATGCTTCCACTCATCCAGACTTGGCTCGATGAGTACAGTGAGGACTTCTGGGATCCTCCACAGTGCCCGGCCCTACGGTTGCTCTCAGCCCACTTGTTCCAGCGGCCCTGCTTCCGCCGACTGGCCAAACGTGCTGATACACTGCTGAGGAAATTTCAGGAAGGTACAAAAGAACGGCAGTGATGCTTTAGTGATATTAAGGCCATGTTACCTTTACTGAATCAATATTGACCATTATTGTTTAGTCAAACTTCCTTGTGTTACAGTGCTACAGCTTTAATATTAGTGTTGAGTTGACTTGATTGGACAGATGACAGGTATGGTAAGTCTTCTCTCTACTGATGCCTCTGTAAACAGTAATTCTGCTTTTCTCTAGAGAGCAATCTGCAGGAAAAGGCCTTGTTGGGGGAGGACGCTGAGATGCTAGACGTTCAGGATACAGAGGAGATGAGCCTAACCTGGGAAAATGCAGAGGAGCAGGTAGACTTCATGGACTTCCCTGTGAGAGATGTTGCAGAAGAGCTCACGCGATTGGACGCTGTAAGTGTCAGTCACTTTGAACCATCACACCATCACTCTTGCTCTGCCAAAGCCTATTAATGATGTAGCTCTGTGCTGACCTTTTCTGGATTACAGGAGCTCTTTGAGAAGGTTGTGCCATTCCAGTGTCTGGGCTGTGTGTGGTCCCAGCGAGACAAGAAGGAGAACTTGGCACCCACTATCCGAGCAACCGTCGCCCAGTTCAATATCGTCACTAACCGGGTCATGACCTCGCTGCTGTGCAGCCCGGTCGGTGTGGTCAGCCCCACCATTCCGCTGGCCAGCAGCCCTACCCAGAGGGCTCGGATTATCGAGAAGTGGATCAGCGTGGCACAGGTGAGTGTGGTGGCTGGAGGTGGACGGGATGCTCTCGACAGTATCTGCAAATGTCCAGGGTCTGTGTGGAACTCACCTGTGGTTTTGTTGGATTGCTCAGGAGTGTAGGCAACTGAAGAACTTCTCCTCCTTGAGGGCGATCTTGTCGGCTCTGCAGTCCAATGCCATCTACAGGTTAAAGAAGACCTGGGCGGCTGTCAGTAGGTGTGTTTTCAGTGAGATCTGACCGTATGTTTGAATCAAAGAGGGACTACAGGTGGTAGGAAATTTAGGATCTTCACCAAAAGGTCATCTTAGTACACTCACATCTTCTTGGTTTGATTGAGAAGGTCAGCTGACACCGTAGTTATGGTGGCTGTGCTGGTTTTGTCCTTACCAGGGAGTACATTGCCAACTTTGAAAACCTCTGCGAGACCTTCACGGATGAGAACGGTGTGCTGACCAGCAGGGAGATTGTGGTGGAGGTGAGAACTTACTCAAAATCCAGCTGTTGGAGCAGAACTAGGTAGCTTTTAGACCAAGTGTCAGTAAAAGGAGGACCGGAGTTCGTGGGCCTGCCCTACAAGGTGGTTATGGGTTCATAACGGCTTTTGGTCAAGATTCTCTCTATACATAATTGTGTAGGAGGCCACTGTTGACAGCTGCTTATTTCAGTGGAAGCTGGGAATGTGGCTGTTCTGAAAAAATATGCAACTGGAATCTGATTCTTATTCATTTTTAATAGTAACACTGAATAATTTTAATGGATTTATTTCAGGGAAAATGCTATTGTAAAAATAAACAGCAGGACAACACTAACACTAGCCCTAACACTAACACTAGCGCGGCCTTTCCTCTGCGTGAGGGGCCGAGCCTTATCAGCATTAGCTTGATTGGCCTCGCAAATATTCAGAAACAGGGAGTGGCGTTTGTGGCAGCCAGGGGCGTGAAAGGCCGGCTCCGCATTGCGCTCGCGCAGATTCACATTGTTGCATTTCCCCACCCGTTATTGGCCATGCCGTGGGAACCTTTAATGGTTACGTCACAGAGCAAGGGAGCGCTGCACTGGGAATCTCTGTTTGTTATGGTGAAGATGGCTCCAGGCGTGGTGGCAACCCAAGCTCATGACACAATTCAATTCAGTTCAATTTTATTTGTATGGCACATTTTCACAACATTGCATTGTCTCAATGCGCTTTACAATGTCCCTGCCCTGCCCTGCCCTGCCCTTAGGAGGGAGGAGGGAATTACAGACATTATACAGAGAGGGGTTCAATAAATATGATAGGGAAAACAAACAAGCCACACACACGTTACCTGGCAGGAGAGAAAATCAGACACAGGAATGAAAGTGGTCCTTCTCACTTATATATGTTGGGAGAAGCCAGTGTTTTTCTGTTGGGTTTATTTCCCACCTGTACAGGCTGTGCATAAGCGTCTGATTTTGCTTATACACTGTTCTACGGACAGAACGTAAACAGAGATAGGTGCTGCGGTGTCGCTTTTCTGTGCCGTGTGTTCACGCTGCACCTCTCCGCTCGTATCACTTTCCAGAGCCTGAAAGACAATGTTATCATTCGATTTATTAGTATTTGCAGAGGCAGCATTGTATGTTGGCCACGCCACTTGCAGATTAAAGCTGGGGGTGTCTTGTTATCGGTGCAAGTTTCAATTCAACCCAGATCCGCGTGAAAAGTCCCTGCCTGTCTAATCAAGCTGTCATTTACTGATTGATGGGTAGGAGGCACAAGGCAGCCGCGCGTGATTGGGAGGTGATCCTGGCAGAGGCCTGTGGTTCTGTTACAGAACGTGCCAAGACGGCGCCTAGGCTGAAGTCTAACCACGTTTCGCTCTTCCTTCGCAGGATGAGAGCCAGTCGGCTGAGGACCCCTCCGGCCCTCACCAGTCCCCCAAGATCTGCCCTCCGCCGATGGTAATGCTCAGTGCTGTTCTTCGGAGACTGAGTGTTTTCACAACAGAATGCTGAAAAAATATGTTACGGTGCCAAATGTGAATTCTGAGCCTCTCGGCAGTCATGAGCAATATAAAGAAATGGGAACCAGTAATGCCAAGTATATAACAGGAAGTGACATGTCCTGATTTCCCTCTTTGTGATTGGCTACCCCTTTTTGGGACATTCTCTATTCCGTAGACTTTGAAATTCCCTTCCGAAGCCGCAGAAACAGTGTTTCCGTGCTTCCAGGGTAGTTATTATGGATCTGCCTATAATGGAAAGCGATGCACTTTTACGCTTCTGGCCCCCTGCGGCATGACACCTTGCATTATGGGATTGAAGCGGGTGTTTGGTGCTTCTAAGGGGTGGCACCTTTTGAGTGTGTTTATCGCCTCTTCTGTCGCAGAGCGCAGCCAGTGGCGTCATTCCCTACCTGGGCACGTACCTCACCATCCTGACCATGCTGGACACCGCGCTGCCCGACACTGTGGAGGTGAGCAGGCTGGCACAGGGATTCAGACAATGGAAACCGGCACAGTTCCTGGGATCTTTTTTCGGGGGAGGGGGATTAGCAGCACTAACTTCTCCCCTTGTCCTTCAGGGTGGTCTCATCAACTTCGAGAAGCGGAGGAGGGTCAGTATTTCACCCACCACCCTTTGTGTCTGTCTCAGTGTTCAGTGTTTACCGTATGTGACGGGCACCTGCAGTTGCTAATAGTTCAAGAAACATGGTGAAACTCGCGTGTCACAGTTACAGGGGAGGGGACAGGTGCTTTGGGGGACAACAAGAGGAAAAAAAACAGTGCAATACAGGACAAACAGCAGAGTAATAAGAGACACAGCAATGCAAGACAAAAGACAACATGCAATATGGGCAGTGAAACGAAAAATAGGCAATAAATAGGTGGTGCATTGTGTGATTTTATTTCGCAATAGCGTGCAGTGACTCTGGCCGGACTGTGGTAGAGCCAGTTGCGTGTGAGTGTGTGTTTTAAGGGCATGGCCAGTGTGTTTACAATCCGCCGGCATTTCATCCATAGGGACCGGCTTCGCCATTGTTTTTAGTAGAAAGAGTGGCCATTCTTTGGAAAATTGTTTTTCTGAGCCTGAGGGACACCCAGTAACTGGGGAAGGATGCTGTGCTGTGTGTTAGTCACACCCCAGCCATTGAATAATGACTGTCATGGCTACTGTAGCTGGGTGTGGGGGAGGGAGGGTGTTTTAGGGCCACTTACTATGTCTGTCGTAATGAAATTCCTGAAAGGCAGGCCCTTCAAAGCACTGATGTCCACCATGTATCTGTGCAGGCTGACCCTCCCAACTCCTCTCCCGTTTCTCCGTCTCCCTCGTAGGAGTTTGAGATCCTTTCCGAGATCCGGCAGCTCCAGGGCACCTGCTCCCTGTACAGTCTCCCCCCCCACGCCCAGATCGCTGCACGGCTACAGGACTGCGAGCTGCTGTCTGACCAGACCAGGTAGGGGGGGGCGGGGCAGATATGTGAAGTGGGAGGGGCTAAAGAGGTTAGTGTAAGTGATACAGGGGTATGATTGAGCCAGCAGAGAGATTTCTGAATGTGCCAGTAAACAGGGACGGGCAGCATTTCTGATACATGCATTTAAAATACTTTTAAAATATTTTAAATACTATATTGTATTTTGTAATTTGTATTTGCCTTACTTCATCGAAGTGATTATGTAATTTGTATCAAATTTTGTGTTTTGAGAATATCCCATCATATTAAGAAGTATCAAATGTAAGAACATTGTGACGAAAGATTGTCTAAGCAGTGAAGGTGAAAATGAAGCGAATTTACACATCGCCGGTCTGTGCTTGCACCCTGCCAGCTATGAGCTGTCTCAGGAGCTGGAGCCCCCGGTCGACACCTATCCCAGCCCCCCCACCTCCTGGGCCCCCCGGCTAATTAGCAAGAAGCTGACTTCGTAAGTCTCCTGGCTCTCTGTTCAGCTCTCACACATGATGAAGTTTTCTCTCTGTGATACGTAATCAGCATCATCATTGTTGAATGTTGTACCTAAAATAGCTTTTTCTATTTCTATTCTACACAAGTTTGCTAAAGCGTGTTGCTTATGTACTGGTTTCCCTCTTGTGTGTGTGTGTGTGTGTGTGTGTGTGTGTGTGTGTGTGTGCGCGCATGTACATGAGCAGGCTGTTGACCCCGGGCGATGGTACAAACAGCAAGACACATGCAGACCAGATCAGTGTGTCTTCCACGGGGTCCAGCAGCTCGGACTTGGACGAATTATCAACGCCGCAGCTGTCACCGAGAGGCAAGGTACTGTATACAAAAAGCATACCAGTCCCTTGCCTGAACTATTTTGATTTGAATCATTTACTCTTTGTGTACTTTATCTTAATGTATTATCTTAATGTTACTTCTAATAAGAACAACTATTAAATCCACTGTTCTTGATGTGGTTATTAATCATGGGTTTATCCCTTAATACCCAAACTGGTCTCCAACTGTGCTGTTGCTAGACTGTGGTTGCTGGTTGAAAAGCTAAATGATGGGTAAATGGTGTCTCCATTCTGTCTTTAGTCTTCACCCTGCCCTTCTCACGAAGACGTTGAAGCCTCCCCGTCTGCCAGTTCAGAAATCTCCATGACCTCCGGCTCCCAGACAGACGCATCAGTTTCCCCGTCCGTCTCCATGAGTCAGGACCCCAGCCCTGGTTCCCACGCCTCTGCCTCCACGAGCTCTCAGCCCGTCTACAACAAGCAGGTGGCCGACTCGTGCATCGTGCGGGTCAGCGTGGAGTGCGGCAACAACGGCAACGTCTACAAAAGCATCCTGGTGAGACGCGATGGAGCGCCTTCGGGGAATGCTGCCTTCGGTCAGAATGGAAAACAGAATCACTGGTCATGGGAGTTGTGGTCGATCACAGAGAGCGATGGAGTGAACGCCAAACAAAAGTGGAAATAAAACGGCAAGATGAGAAAACACACAAAGGGCAGAAACACGGCCTTGGGGAATTCCGGAATCTTGGTCTAGATGTAGCCGAAATTCCAGGCTGAAACAAACCACAACACACCGATTTATCGTTTTACAAATATATAAAGAGAAGCTGGAATTGATCGTGTTGCATTTAGCCTTTCTGCAAACCATGCCCTTAAATATGTGACCCCTAATCATTATTGCCTGTGAAAAGTGATCCACCTTTGGGTAGCTCACACAGCTTGACTCAAGCAGACCTGGCCAAATGCATACAGCTAAACCCTGTTTGGGGGACGCTGCAGCCGCCTTACAGCCCTGATTGGGATAAGCTCTTAGACGGAGGGAGGATGGATGGATACAATCGAACCTTCAGCCGGTTCAAATTATACATCTCAGTAATTGCATAAGTTCTGCTTAGATTCAGTATTAACTCTAGTTTATCCTTTCATTCCTTACAGCTGACGAGTCAGGACAAGACTGCGCAGGTCATCCAGAGGGCACTGGAGAAGCACAATTTGGAAGGTGTGGACATCCATAATTTCACCCTCAGCCAGGTGTTGCCTGAGGACAAAGGTGAGCCCTAGCAGGACACTTGACATCACAGAACATCTGGTTGCAGTTGTCTACTGATGTGGCTGCTGGCAGCAGAATGGTTCACCAATGTTGCTTCTCCCTGGGTTTCCTTGCAGAGCTGTGCATTCCAGACAAAGCCAATGTGTTCTATGCAATGTCCACCTCAGCCAACTATGACTTTATCTTGCGGCGGAGATGGAAGAGCCACCTAAGACTCCTGGAAGGTGCCTCCACCTCAGGGTCTCTGACAACGCATCACCAAGCCAAGTGACAGCACCCTCTTTGGCCTGGAGGAATTACTACAGCAGAAGAGGGGAGACAGGTTGTCATTGGGAAGGAAGAGAAAAGGCAGCAGCTGTGTTTGTTGTCCTTGGAGGTGAAAAGCATTTCAGTGCAGACCAGAACCCAAAGAGAAAGGACAGAAAGGGGGGCGGGGGCTGGCTGAAGATCGTCACAAAGGTGCAGAGATGCATGAGCACTTCATCTGAAGACATGAAGAGGAGTGAACAGGATCATTTGTAGATTTGGCTTGTGTCCGGAGGGACACATTTTATGTAAAGTAATAAGCATTTTCTTAGTGTATAAATGCTAGTGAACAAGGAAGGACACGAAGAAGCACTTTAGGATGAATACGAGTACGTTGGGAGTGACTTTGGGAAGACTTTTTGGGGAATGTTGGTGCTCCAAACGGATTTCTCGAATTGGTTTGTTCTGCTTAGTCATCCACTAATTATTTACACCTAATATAGTGACTAAAAGCCACACGCTATTGCCTCGCATGCAATTAAATGCACTCTAAAAGGAGCACATACTTTCTGATATAATCGGCTAGCAGCCCCGATTTCACGTGATTTGCATTTGCACAAATTAGGAAACCTTTGCACGTAGCCAGAGCCTTCAGAAAGACTCATCGCATTGTGTCCTTAAGCCACGCAGACACCCCGTGTCCTAAAAAAAGGAAAGTCTTTCTGAAACACGCGATACAGGCGTGATGTGGGGAAGCGCCCCTCGCTGCAGTTTTGTGGAGTGGAATGCCGACGAGCGTTCCAGGAGAGCTTTCGGTTGGGCGGGAGGTGTGAAGCCTTGCTTGGGACACGCCCCGATGAGAGTTTCAACCTAAGGAGAGTGATTGCCCAACTGGACTGGCGGCATTCCAGCGCAACACCCTGACTTGACAAGTCAGTTCTTCGCAGTGCGGGACACCCACGGCGCCATAGTGATTATTACCACTGCAGCGGATGGGAGAATGTTTGCCTGCAGCCGGGTTTTCCGGCACGATGTTATTTCAGTGTTACTACCCAGGGAAAATGAAGGACTCGTACCGCTCAAGACCTAAGAATCTGTGAAAGGATCTTGTGGTGCTTCAGTTTCAGCCCAGACCCTGTTTGTTCTGTCATCCCCCATCGTCTCACTCGTTTTGCCAGTGTTGTGTTCTGTCTGCTCTCTCCTCCGGAGAACTCCCATTGTCTCAAGTGTCCTGCCAGTGTTATTTTCTGCTCTGATCATTTCCAAGCTGAATGTTCCCCCTTGCGTATTAAAATTGCAGAAGATGTCTATTGCACAAGTTAGAGGATAAGTAACCGACGAATGAAAGTCCGCCTTATCTTTCCAGGCGTAACCAAGATGCGCTTTTATTCTGAGGATTATCCCTGAACTGACATTCCCTCTGATCTGAGTTTGTTTTTAATTTATATTGTTTTAATTTTATCTGTGCATTTTAAATATTATATTGTATATTTAATATATTGTCGTGTTTATTGTTGGTCTTTCTATGTCCCAGCTATTGTTTTTTCTTCTTCTTTCCCAATAATGAGTCTCTGAGCGATTTGCCTGACACTCGAGGAAGTATTTATGTAAATGAGAGTGAAGCTAAACAATGAGCTGTGTGTGTGTGTGTGTGTGTGTGTCTGTGTGCACGTGCAGGAGATGTCGATAAGGTTGTCGGTGTGCTGTTTAAATCTGGGCTGTTATCAGAGTCCTTCTGACCAGCACCTTGTACCATACTCCAGGCGACAGCTCGGTGTCCATCTTTTCCGTTTCCCATGTACCCAGTAGAATGCATCGCATTGCATGACCTTTGTGTCTCTCCTCTGGCTCTGTGTAACTGTCATTGCTTTTAAACTTCGCAGCAATAGTTACAAATAAAAACTTATATGTTCGTTCATGTGTTTGCTGACATTGTTCACTCATAAAAACTTCATTGGAAGAAATTTGATTCATTCCCTTTATAATTAATGGGGAAAACCACTGTAATACCAGCATAATACAAATTCCTGTGTAGTTTATGGCTTCAAGTGGCTGACTGAGCTGGCATTTGGCTGCAGTCTGTACTTATCTGTCGACTGTGACATGACCCAGACAGATGTGACCAAGACATGGATCGCCCTCATGTGGCAGGGGGATAAAATTTGCTTTCTGATCCAGGCCTCTTACATTACTACAGTACACAGACTGCAGAAACAGAGGGGGGGGGGGGGGCACCTGGACGCAGGTAACTTAGGGATGCAGTGATGAACAATCACAGAAAAGTGGCATGCAAATAATTTAATGCAAATAATTTAAAGGGTATCGTGAGATGGACAGTCACAATAAAAAAGAATGAAGAGGCTGAAGGTTATATTGAAGTTTTTCAAAAGTGAACACACAAGAGGACACGACTGTATGCCCCCCCCCCCCCCATTCAGAGGCGTTTCATGTTTTTTTTTGTTTTTGGAAACTGATCAAATTTTGTGGCCAAATATGATGGTGCTGCAATTTTGAGCAGACAGAAGGGATGTGGTGGGTGAATGGGCTGAATTTCCTGAACACTTCTGTTTTACTTCTTAATTGAACAATTCAGCTTGTAGTCTGGGAGTTCGCTCTAAATGGTGCTAAGTCACATCTTTCCTTGACTGACTGTCCTATGCTGTGCTCTGTTTTGTTGGCCCTCATCTGGGAGTCATCTAGGAGAAGGTGACCATCCATCCATCACACCATGAGCCTTACAATGTCTTTCCGCAACTATATCACAAGATATGGATAAACATACATGAAAATCACAGTGGATAGGGCAAAATCTACACGAGCGGATTACAAACCTGTTCAACAGATGGCGCTAGCTTTCTAAAATGGTGAGAAAGCGCTGAATCTGTCTTTCTGTTACTCAGATCAACAGCCTGTGATTCACTCGTACTGTAAGGAGGCTGTACCACAGCGAGCCACTAGGTGGCGCTGAATCTACGGAGGTGGTGTGAAAATAGAGAACGTGACGCTTATAATCGGACGGCTTTATTTAAGGAGATTGTAGGAGCAGAAAACATAATATAGTAAGACACATCTAACGTGCTTCTCCAAGGATTCTGCATTGGAGTGATTCTTGTAACCCTGCCTTGGACCTGTAACCCCCAGGTACAGAAAATGGATGGATGGATGGATGGATGAAGTCAAGAAAATCTAAGTGGAAAAACATATAGAAGGCAATAGAGGAAAAGATCTGACTCCAGAGGTCTTGTGAGGACTGGAGCCTGGAGTGGAGTGATGGTCTCCTCCTCACCACCCCGATAGGACAGCCAGTGCAGAGCAGCAGCTCACCCCGCTGGGCGTCTCCTTTGGGCTATGATCTGAGGGCGGAGGTCTCACATTCATGTCCGCTGGGTTCAGATAGCAATCAGTCATGGGGTAGAGCATAGCAAACACAGAGCGGCATTGATTCCCGGAGCAATTCTGTTTTGCACATTTGGTTCCGCAGGTTTTCTTGCTGAGATTAAAAGCTCTTGGCCGCGAAGTGAATGCGCGGGACTGCTTATGCGGAACAGGCATGCAGTGATTCTCTCCACTGGCTTCTGATCACAGCCAGAATGAAGCACGACACCTTTGTTCTTCTTGGCTGAGTGACAAAAGACCCAGATCCCAAATTATCCATAGAGTCTCCCGTACTCCTGTTTGGGGGGACTGCTGAGTGACTCTGTGGGGTTTTTAAACCCCTCCCCGCCCCCCCCCAGAATCCGCCCCATCGCCTGACTCATCCTTCAAGGGCTTGTTAATGTTTCACTGCCCCTCCCCTCAGAACCCGCCCCCCCCCCTGACCACACAAGAGGCACGTCAATGTCCCTGAAATGACGCAGCAATACTTGCACTCACACTGCGCTATTTAGCTGAAAGAGCTGGACAGCTCAGATGGTTGGGGATGGCTGCCGGTACGCCCGTGGAGCTGGGGCTGGCCAAATTACTTCCTTCGGGGGCGTTGTTTACCTCTGTTAGTGCCTGTAATCGGAAAGTTGCTGGGTTGAATCCTGTGGTCGGCAGAATAGTCATGCAGCCTTTGGGCCCTCGAGCAAAGATCTTAACCCTTAAAAATCCTCTAGGGGCTCCAGTTAAAAAATTGCCGACCCTGACCGCTGACCTCTGACCCCAAACTCCACTCTCATGTGTGCAAGGTGGAATATGTGATAAAGACCTCTTCTATACCTGCAGTTGTACAAAGGGCAAATGAAGTATTGTCACCTTTAGTTTTACCTTTCTGGACTGGGGGTGTCTGGACATTATCCATATAAATCCTTAAAGCTGAATAAAATGTAAATTGTATAGGTGTATGATTCTGTATGCATGTCATAGATTACTGAAGCATGGGGGACACAGACTCTGTGTGCTTGAACTGTTTGGCATCATGCTGATGTTTTAATGCCTTACAGGCTATTTAATAGCACTTTTCCTGACTTGCGCTCGTCGTGTGGGTGTAGGGCCTGATGATGGTGAATATTAAACCCGGTTGTGGGTCATGGCATATTGTACTTTAGTTGCAACCCAGTTTGAAACCCATTTTGAGGGGGTTGTGGCCAAAGGAACGAGGTAGGATGGGGAATGGGATCCGATTGCGGGGTGGGCTCTCACGCCCCCTATGTGTGAGTGTGTGCACTTGCACGCTCGTAGTTCATGTGGGTTTGCTGACTGTGGTCAGCAGCGAGGAAGCGAGGTAAGACCCACAGCAGCCGGGGAATGCACAGGTCCTCTGATGTTCCACAGCGGTCTGCAAAACTCCTTACCTCAAAGGTAGCAGCACCGCAACAACTGGTTGGGTTTGGCACCTGTGTCCCTGTGGTTGGTGTGATGCTTGTTGACCTGGGCTCACAGATAGCAACAGGAGATCCGCTGTAAATGTCTTGTTATAATTATACTGAATATCTATTATTTCACCTTATTATTTCTTTCTTAGCGCATTATTTAATTAAACAGACATAGTATAAATATGACTGTATAATGTCAGTGCTTTATGTGCTTTATGAGCATTGGCACAGTGCTGCCTCAGAATATCTACCCCAGTGTTTCCCAGTCCGGTGCTCGGGGACTCACGGTCAGTCTATGTTTTTGCTCCCTTTGAGCTCCCTGCCAGACAGCCCACATTTTTGCTCCCTACGAGCTCCCTGCCAGACAGCCCACATTTTTGCTCCCTTCGAGCTCCTTGCCAGACAGCCCACATTTTTGCTCCCTATGAGCTCCCTGCCAGACAGCCCACATTTTTGCTCCCTTCGAGCTCCCTGCCATACAGCCCACATTTTTGCTCCCTTTGAGCTCCCTGCCAGACAGCCCACATTTTTGCTCCCTCCGAGCTCCCTGCCAGACAGCCCACATTTTTGCTTCCTTGCAGCTCCCTGCCTTCCATTCAGAGGTCATTTTGTTACCAGGCACCAAGACAGGCTGAGCTGATGGGGGGTGTTGGGGGGGGGGATGCTATGCATGAGTGTTCATTCCCTCGGCCAATGTTTGCTTTCCGTTCGCTTTGCACCTTCCAAACCTCTGGCTGTTAGGTGGTTCTCAGTATCAGCTCTCGTGATTGGCTTATTGTTTCTCCTGCTGGGTGCTCTCTCTCTTTTTAACCCTGGGTCTTTACCGTGATGCATCCCGTGCTGTTACACTGACACCCTCCCCCCCCCCCCCAGAAAAACGCCCAATTTGGCCCCAGCAGCTGACCTGAAGCGGTGAGACTGTAATTTCTGACTTGGTGACTCATCTCCCCTCTTAGAAACTGCGAATGCATTCCCCGCAAGCCGGCCTGAGTTTGAACTAATTCAATTAGCCATCCTCAGCTGGATATCCTCCACTGATCGACGGTTTTTCTCAGACTGCTTACCCAGATTAGGGTTGTGCTGCTGGGTAGTTTACTGTACAACAGTTACTCCCACATGAGATTCCAAGTGGAAGGGGCAGGAAGTAGGATGCGGAGCTGGTACCTTTAGCATTATTGCCTCAAAATACCTCCTTAAGAGCTGCACTTTTTACCACCATCCAAACCATGCATTTGCATGGTGCCACAAACAGTCACTATAATAAATGCTAAATAAATCCATTCCTTATTTATCCTCTAGCTAGCTATGATCTTTGGATTCCCTTATTTAGTTTTTGTAACATCTGAGGCGGGGGTGGGGGTGGGGGGGGGGGGACATTGACAACAAACCCCGCCTTGCTTTTCAATAACTTCAGCGCAACCTCCGCAGCCGAGCACATCGTCCTGCGAGCGCACGAGCGTGAGCTGATGCTGACGGAGACCTCCCTCGACAGTCTGTGTGAAGCGTGCACTGTTCGAGAGAATGACTCATCGTTTTGAGCGATGTGGCAGCAGCGGAACGCGAGCGGTGAGTCAGAGTGGTGCCGGATGCGAGGGTCGTATTGACGGGCCCTGCCGGGGAGACAGAAACGGGGGCCCCACCCGGATCGTACCAAGAACAGTCCGGGTAGGGGATTGTGCTGGCTAATGATAGGAGCCGTCGTTTGCACAGTCTGGGTAGCTGTGCTGTTACGCAGGGAGCGTTTTGCCAGATTAGGACGCCAGAATCGACCCTGACCTCTGTGTATGAGAACAGCCACTTCCTGTGTAAAAAGGCCAAAAGAGATTAAGGAAGGGAGCTTCCTGCGTAAACAAGATATAAAAGTGTGATGAGCCGCAGGCTGCCTCCCACTGCCCACGAGGCTCCGCGCTTCACACCCAGGTGTTTATCTCCCGAGCCGCATCCTCGGCTTGTTTTGCTTGCGATCTCGCAATAGCTCTGCGTGATAAAGTTTGGTTTTTAGCACAAACGCGTGGGACTGCACGTGGAAACGCATCGAGACTTCTGCGTTGCCGATGGAGGTGTGACAGTGGGTGTGTAAACACAGACAGGAACTTAGCAGGGGTGTGTTTATGGTGGGTGGGTGATAAAATGTATCGAAGGATGCCCACGCCCCCCCAGAGGGGAACTGACATCCATCGCCAGTCCACATGGCTAGCAAGTGTGTTCGGGGTAAAAGGCTTCAGATGTCAGGCTCATGTGTTCATTGTCATGTGTGTTTTGAGGAACAGTGGAATTCTTATGGTACAGGGGAGGGACGGGTGCAGTGGGGGACAATAGCACTGTAAGACCAAAAAAAAAGAAGCGTCAATAAATAGTCACTGCGTCTGTGCATGCGAGGGACATCAGCAGACACACTCGCTTCACACACATGACTGCTGACCACCCAGGCATCACAACGCTGCCCCCCCCGGGCTCCTGCCCCTCACACACGCACGGCTCCCTTTCCCGGAAAAACACTGGCATGAAAATTCGGGGAACTGCCTCTCTCCCATTGATGTCACTTCCCCATCTGCCGGTGTTCAAAATCAAATAGCGGCTGCCTGTTAACACGCGAGCTGCGTGTTCTGGTGCTGCTAAATCTGTCTTGGCCCCGTCCGAGGCGCGGTGCAGTCAGTCAGCGCTCGCTCCCGCGCTGCGGCGGGCGGCCATTTTAGGACCCAGCCAGTGTCCACGCCACTGGATTTTCTGCTGCTTTCGGAGGCACCGAGGACTGACCTTTCCGTCGGCCGCGTCGACCTTTCAGGTTGGCTCCGGAGCGCTGTTCTTGATAAAGCGCGAAGAGGCAGAATTCGAAAGGCGTCGTCTCGGCCTGGTCCAAGATTACGAAGGTCACAGCTGATGTTATCGCGTGTGGTGTTGCAGTCGGAGCAGCCTTGTGCAATGGCTGCGAAGGCAGTGTGGCTCAGCACCCGAGCATTGCGGTTCCCAGGGAAGTCACAGGCTGCCATGATCCCCGATAATGCTGTCAGAAACCCACATCATGACTTATAATCATCATATAATCATAATTTTTACCTCTGTGTAATTTGTATGCAATTTCACCAGCAACTCTATGGAGCCTTAAGATCTGGTAAATAAAGACTGGTCAAAAAAAATGAAAGAAGACTATTAACAAGAAAAGATGCTGTTGAACTGACAACAATGTATCCCCTGGACAGACCTGTTAACTGCCCCCCCCCCCATCTAATCCCTAATCCCCCTACATACCCCAACCTCTACAGTTTGCACAGTTACTGGATGGATCAACTGGAAATGTAAAAGTTAATGAGGGTGTTTACCCAAAATGCTGATTCTGTCTCAAAAGTTAATCGGTTCCAGTTTGTCACCCTTATAATGTCTCTGCAAAGTTTGAAAAAGATCCATGACATATTTTTTGAGTAATCATCTTAACAGAAAGTGTGTGCATCAGTGGTGACCGACGGAGCAGTACCAAAACCATATGTATTTCCCATCCTGGGAATACAAATATCTATCCTACTTCATACATTGTCATTTGTTGTCCTTGTAAAGGACCAGAAGGGGGGGGGGGGCTCTGCAATGCTGCCCTGTTAATTGCTGAATCGGAATCCTTTTTCTGATACGTCACCCACATTAAATCAGGTTTGCTGAAACCTCTTGACAAAGAAGTGACTCTGTACCTCTTAGAGATATGAGAGACCCTCCACCATATTTTGGAGTAAACAGAGATGGCCGCTTATAATTTTATTGCAGGTTAATTTACTTGGCTTAACAGACACCTTCAGAAACATCGAGAGCAGACACGTACTGGGGTGCACCGTCCATTTATACAGCCAGATATGAAGCAGTCTTGCTTAATATTACGCCATTAAACCATTCATCTATTTACAGAATGTTCTGCCAGTCTCTACATTGACCTTTTCTAGGCATGCTCAGTCGAGCTCAAATCGAGGATGACCCATCGAGTCAGTCGAGCTCATATCGAGGATGACCCATCGAGTCAGTCGAGCTCAAATCCAGGATGAGCCATCGAGTCAGTCGAGCTCAAATCCAGGATGAGCCATCGAGTCAGTCGAGCTCAAATCCAGGATGAGCCATCGAGTCAGTCGAGCTCATATCGAGGATGACCCATCGAGTCAGTCGAGCTCAAATAGAGGATGACCCATCGAGTCAGTCGAGCTCATATCGAGGATGACCCATCGAGTCAGTCGAGCTCAAATAGAGGATGACCCATCGAGTCAGTCGAGCTCATATCGAGGATGACCCATCGAGTCAGTC